TTCTTTTATTGGCTGCATTGGAACTGAAGAACATAGAGCAGAATTAGTGTCTTTTGCCCTTCAAGTCCACTTCAACATTACTGCACCATCCCTGTGTTCCTATTGTTTTTACTGTTTTTGATTTCAGTATTAAAAATTCTGTGACTGAGCCTCCAGCCTTCAGGGACAGAGAATTCCTAAGATTCGCTATCCTTTGAGTAAAGAAATTCCTCTCTCAAATTTGCATAACCACCTTGTTCTTGGGTCTCTTAGTTTTAGGTCTCCAGTCAGGAGAAACATTCTTTCTGCGTATCCCCTGTTAATCCCAAATATAGGTCCAGTTATTTTAATCTTTTCTAAAAGAATTGCTAAATAATTTGATGCATCGTTTTGTTGCATGCATCTTCATTTTTAAGGAGCATTGCAAAATCACTTGGCATACATAAGTCAAAGTATTCTATTCCAGAAAAACCTTCAGTGTCAGTGAGAAAATGCTTAACTAATTACTTGAAGCTTGGCTATGCAAAAAGGACATTACAGTAATTTAAGTAATTTTCATGTGCGTGAAAGAAATGTTTTACAACTACCTTTGTAGAATAAACCTTAATATTGATTTTAAAATTTTAATCTGTCAGAAAAAAACTTGCAACTTCAAACATGACCTTTTGGACAAAATTTGCATGGATATTTTCAACAACTAATTGATTGAGAGCAAATACCATCACAGTGCTGTTTAATGGTTGGCATGCTTTTTTTCTGAGACTCAAATTACAGACTGCGCAAGTGGAGCACTGAGTTGAAGAACACATGAGCACCACCTGCTGGAATGTCATATTGTTATTTGCTGTTTCAGTAGATAACTGAGATGAGATTGATTTTAGAACTTTGAACTTGGCACCATTGTCTGCATCATTAACAAGTGGCCAAGTCAAATGAAGACCGCAACGGTGGAAAAGAGAAATGGTTAGTGTGTTATATGGTTAACATGGATACATGAATTAAAATTGCACACAAATACCTGCAAACCCTTATTTTTGTATCAACAAGGGAGCAACTGTTTTGCTTAACTTTTGGAGCTGTTTACTACTTATTGCCATCTACTTCAGAAGTGTGTATTTCTGTAAGAATGTACTCAATATCGTTCTTAATCTTATCTATGTAAATTAAATATATTTTGAGTTTAGATGTGCTTCAGACCTGTATTTGCAATGTAATGGTCCTCAAATCCTGGTGTTTCCATGGTGTTACACATAGTGAAATTAGTACTGACTTAAATATGTGGCTGTGGTTGTGTGTGTCAGAATATCTGGATGGAGGAAGAAAATTGTAGTAACTATTACTATAGAATAGCTGTATATCTTAACCATCAGACTTTTTTTTGGACGTAGTTGAATGGCTGAAGTGAAATGTTCTATGATTTATCTGCAATACTAACCACCCTGTAGAATTCCTTTAGATCTTCAAGGCTCCTGGTCAGTGTCCAACCTTCAATATTATGTCTGATGCAATTTAAAAGGCTACATGTTTTCTTCAATTTTTGTTTCAAATTCATTCTTAATAGAATCTTTTGGGTTTATTGTACTTTTTTTCCCTGCACCTTCCCTTTCAGTGATCTGTATAGGACAGCCTTCTCGCTTGGTTTACATTAGTGCAATTGAGTTGAAAGATGAAATTGGGTAGAAAGATAAATTTCTGTAACCAACAGAGAAAACAGAATAAGTTTGTAAGATGTTCACTTATACTTCCTTCTCACTCGTTGAATTGTTAATACAAGTAAATGCAACTTTAAAATTGTCTAGTTTTGAGAGTATTCCAGTTGGAACAGTTGAATTCAGGCTACAGCTCAAAATGCCCAATGCTTCAGGATTGTTTTGAATCTGTACTATGCCTTTAACAGACCTGCAATGTGGTATGACTATGCATTTTGTGCAGCCTCTAAAAGCTTTGAAATTTCAGGTACATAACTTCTGAGCTATTTTGAATTGGTTAAATTTCATTACAGACTTCATTTCTCTTTTTTGTATTCCTCGTGCACGATCTGTCTTTTTATAATCTCACAATACTTGAGAATTAGAGAATACATTCTTAAAACATTCAAAAATGCTGAGTGTACTGGCATTGTATGAACTGATATTTAAAGAATCGTTTACCTAATTCTCAGTTTCATGCATCTGAGTGAATTCTTCCGCTCCCGCCCCTCCCAAAAAAAGTATTATTTAGACAATACTACTAATTCTGTAGCCTTTCACTGTGATCTCAGAACTAAATTTTGAAGTGGTTGTAGTTGCTTCCAGCACACTCAAAATTCTTTCGAGGCCAAAAACTTAATTCCAGAAGTTTTTTGAGTATAATTTGTGATTAAATGTTGTCAGAAATGGGAGAAAACTTTAAAATTGTAATGTCTCATCATGAACTCACATTTCAAGTGAAATTGGCTTAGTCTGACAGAACTTCTAGCCCACTTCTTTCTTTCACGCATGGAGAGAAACTGAATTCTTGTAACTTGGGATCATCGAGTTTCTAACGCATCTGGTTGTATTTCTTTAAACCTGAGAGTAAAGGGATGAACAAGAAACCATCTTATGCAATCTCCAATTTACCCTTTTGTTTCCTCCAATTGTCTCACTTCATCAAAAACGAAACACTAACATGACAAACTATTATGAAGCAATGGGGAACCATGATTTTATCCACAAGATTACTTTACTTATAGCAGAAAACACTGAAAAAAACAAAATTCAGCGAAGAGCAATACAGTGCACAGTAGACTTGATTTTAGTTTAGCACGAGATTTTAAATCGTGCATAACTTCAAAGGCTTCTAATTTATCAGGTTTTTTTTGTTTTAACTTAATCTGATTATGCAATGGGATAAGTGATGCTTTGAATTCAGTAACCAAACACAACAAAAATGTCTCCAGGTAAAACATTTGCTCTTTGGCAATATCAAATTAATTGGTGAAAATGTTTTATTTTGTTGTAGGAATTGTTCACTTGACCTATAGATTACCAGTACAGTACTGAAAACAGATCCAATTCTTGAAGTACAGTTGCATTAAAAAGTGTGACATTTGGAACTCTGTACTTCAGTGCTATTAAAGAAAGAACTGGACATTAGCCATATGATCATTAAAGCCAATCACTGATGTTTTGTTCAATTTAAATAAGACTTTGGTCATTCTTGATTTAAGCATTTGCTTTGACATGTCCACTGCCCTTTGTTTTAGGGACCAGATGTTGACAAGGTACTTGGTAGAGATGAGTGGAAATGTAATTGACAGGTGATAGGAATGAGATATTAAGCAGGATTAGAGACAAACAGAAGATCTTCATTTTTTCAAATTGTGAACAATTAGCACACTTACATTATGGATGTCTTGTACAAGAACCCTGTAGATAGTAAATAAAAATCTTGTTTGAAGGTGCTGTATTGTAAATTGTCAAATCCAGTTTTTTTTTCCCAAGTGGCGTGGTAAACTGTATATCGACATTTATTAGGAGGAAACATCAGTTTGAAGATCACTGACTTAAAGTGTATTGGATGGAATTGCATTTTACTGCAACTAATGGTAATCTGCTTGGATGCTTAATTCACATATATTTGTGTGGGCATATGATTTTAAGTAGCGCTGTAGTGGAAAGGTTAGGCATAGCTTTCAGGCATTTTTTTTTTAAAAAAGGCCTTTGGCAGAAAAACTGAATTACACAATGTGGCAGAGATAGTAGGAACTGCAGATGCTGGAGAATCCGAGACAACAAGGTGCAGGGCTGGATGAACACAGCAGGCCAAGCAGCATCATAGGAGCAGAAAGGCTGACGTTTCGAGCCTAGACCCTTCATCAGAAAAGGGGGAGGGGAAGGGAGTTCTGAAATAAATAGGGAGAGAGTGGGAGGCGGACAGAAGATGGATAGAGGAGAGGATAGGTGGAGAGGAAACAAACAGGTCGAAGAGGCAGGGATGGGGCCAGTAAAGGTAAGTGTAGGTGGGGAGTTAGGGAGGGGATAGGTCAGTCCAGGGAGGACAGACAGGTCAAGGGGGCGGGATGAGGTTAGTCGGTAGGAGATGGGGGTGCGGCTTGAGGTGGGAGGAGGGGATAGGTGGGAGGAAGAACAGATTAGGGAGGCGGGGACGAGCTGGACTGGTTTTGGGATGTGGTAGGGGGAGGGGAGATTTTGAAGCTTCTGAAATCCACATTGATACCATTGGGCCGCAGGGTTCCCAAGCGGAATATGACTTGCTGTTCCTGCAACCTTCGGGTGGCATACAATGTGGCAGTAGTGTACAAGTATTTTGGCATGTAATCGCAGTACAGACAACAGGATTTTTATAGCTCTGCTACTGCAAAGACATGTAAATGGAGCACAATTTAAAAGCTCTAGGTTTGAAGCAGTTTCTTTGAAAAACACATGGTACAGAGAAAGTTGCTTATGAATTCAGCTCTTAATAAACTGGTAAAAGTGTTTAAGTTAGTATCTGAAGCTCGTGGTTGAAGTATGCAATTAAACTTTGAAAAATTCAGTTTTTGTATCTTCATCCAGAGGTACAATATCCTGTATTGTTGAATAGTTATGGAGGAATGATCATAGATCATGTTGTGTTTGACTTTTTTCTGCATTTTGCTAACCTGGTCATCTGACAGTGAACAAGATTTTCTCATGATCCTGCTCCTCTTGTGAATAGATGAGATGGCACAATTTAGGTACTACAATGTGGATTCCTTTTTTTCCCAGCTTTGTTTTTCCCCCATTTTGCCTCCCATGTCTCTGGGCATACAAAATGTAGCAGCGTTAAAAGTAAATGGAGTTAACCTCTCTCTTAACCAAAAAAAGTTGAAGTAAGGTTATACAAAGTGTTGAGCTGTTGTGAATGGTATGTTATTTCTTCTCATGTTTGTATATTTTAATTCTAATGTGGTGTACACAGTTCTTGTCAGTCTACACATCTTCATTCTCTCATTTGTCCATATTGTTTTTAACTTACACACTTGATGCAGTTTCTGCATTGAATATTTTAATGTGATTTATAGTGGAAGAACAAAGCTCACCTTCACTTTGGATGCTAATCTTGACAACTTGAATATGGAAGAAATTGGAATACATTTACAATGCTGGTTACAAGTAATCGTTTTTTCCCCCCAAATGTTATTTCCTTATTTTATCTTCAATTATGTTACATAGATGTGTTGTGCTGTTCTTTGGAGTTTTCACACAATATAGCGGTGGTTAAGGCTGGCATTGAGGAAACTCCAGTGTTTAATCTGCAAAATCTTTCAATGTGAGATCATTGCAAATGATGTACTGTACTTACAGAAGCTTCACATAGCTTCACAGTTAAAATACACTTAAATTGACACACTATTGTGGATAACTTACTTGAATGTAGCCATTTTAATTGTGCAAATTGCAAAATGCCTTACTTGTCAAATAGCATCACAATTCCAGTAATGCATATTTATGATTGAATACAGTAAAGTAGGCTGATCTTTTCAAGTAAGTTGGTACTTGTTAGGAAACATTCAAGAATAAGGAATAGACAAACCAATGACAGTTGACAATAGTTCCAGAAATATTAGTGATAAATGAGCCATGATTTTCAATTACCTCTAACTTGTTAACATCTTTGTGAATAATATGTACATTTTGATATACAAGTCAATAGCTTACGTAATGGCACGATGAAATTAATACTGTGACCATCTACTACTATACAAAATTCCTGTTTCTATTAAGTATGAATACATAATACTATCACTGCAAAGGAGACAACTCTGGATTTAAAGCTGTCAGCTGCTGTATTGCTGTATACATAGTTCAGCTGTACTGTGAACGTTTTGTACTGTTCACCTAAGAGAAGCAATCTAAGGAAGTTGGATATGCATTCTCTTTTCCTTTGGAAGGAAGTTTCTCTGCAAAATGCCTCTTGATCGGACTCCATGTAGCTCAATGGAAAGCAAATATAACTTCCAGTGGTACATGAACATTGGTACTCTTGCAAATCCACAGTTCATATCTTGTTCTTCTAACGGTTTGGTGTTCAAACGTCTTTTTACAGGAAAAGCAGAAAATTCTCCAGTAGAGCTTCCTTTTTTGAATTTGGTATTAATAAAATGAGCAGTTACCTTCTAGTACCTCCAATGGTTAACACAGGAAAAACAAAGATTAATCATTGTGTTAGCAACACATTAACTGACAAATGCAAATTTTAATCATATTTAATGTAATCATTTGCAGAAGCTTGTAGTATTATGTTTAGTGATCAATAGAATACACTTAAAATTATCTGAAGTATAGAACAAAAACTAGGAGAGTTTTCAGCCTTTAGAATCATAGAATCCCTACAGTGTGGAAACAGGCCATTCGGCCCCACAAGTCCACACCGCCCTTCCAAACAGCATCCCACCCTGACTCATTTCCCTACCCCTGCATTTCCCCATGTATAACCCAAACATCCCTGGACACTACGGGCAATTTGGCATGGCCAATCTGCCTAACGTGCACATTTTTGGACTATGGGAGGAAACTGGAGCACCCAGAGGAAACCCACGCAGACACGGAGAATGTGCAAACTCCACACAGAGGCGCCCAAGGGTGGAATTGAACCCAGGTCCCTGGCACTGAGGCAGCAGTGCTAACCACTGAGCCACTGTGCTGCTTATGAACTAGGCATTCAGTATGCTCGAGGTTGAACTAATTTCTACTATAATGCATTCTAATAATGGACTTTTTTTTTAAAAAACTGATTAAACCCACACAGTGAAGAAAGTTTATGTGCCAATATTCCATGACGCTTCATCTCCATTAACTGCTATTTTAGGGTAGGCAAGGTGAACCTGTTATCTCCCATTTACTTAAATTACGTATCATCTATTTATAGAGTCAGATGTACAGCATGAAAGCAGACCCAACTCATCCATTGCCAACTAGATATTCTAAACTGATCTAGTCCCATTGCTAGCATTTGGCCTAAATCCCTCTAAACTCTTCCTATTCATGTACCCATTCCACAGGCCTTCTAAATGTTATTGTACCAGCCTATACCACCCCTCGCAGCTCATTTCATACATGCACCACCCTCTGCATGAAAAAGTTGTCCCTTAAGTCCATTTTAACTCCTTCCACTCTCTCCTTAAACCGGTGCCGTCTGGTTTTAGACTTGCATATCCTGGCGGAAAAGACCTTGGCTATTCACCCTATCCATGCCCCTCATTTATAAACTTCTATTTCAGTACAGAATTTATTGACTTAAAGCTATAAAACATGATCTGAACTATAATTTTGGCATTGTGTCAGATTGAATCAAATTAGATGCATACAATAGATTAGGAAGTACCCTTTAGGGATGCAGTGTATCATTGACTCAATTTTTGAGGCCCCAGAGGACAGCAGTTAACCATGGTGTTGCATATTCTGTTTGATGTAGCCCTCTTCCTGTCTCTCTCATTCTTTCTTTTGTCTGCTTTGCACACATTTTGATTAATTCAAAGCATGGGTGATTTTAGTGATGATGGATAATAGGTTTAAAAAGTCCCTGGGGGAGGGAGGGGGTGGGAGGGTGGTGAAGGGGAGCTGTTAGGTTGTTTGTGATAACTCCTCAGGATCTGGAAAAAAGATGTACAGGCATTGTATTGAAAAAATAAGCTTCTCTACCTACTGAAGGTTTGGGGACGAATGCCAATTAAAAATCTTGGTGTCAAATAACTTGATCAAATGTGAATGATAAGCATTTCCATAGCACTTATGTAACATGAAATAAATTAAAATGTAAGTTTTTAATATAGGTCTTTTCATTTTAGTATATCAAAACTGCAAATTTCAAGATATTTATAAACAAGTGTAAAATGAACTAAAAGATGAATATAGTTGGCAAATGAACCTCAACACAAGTGAGGTGTAGAGACGACGAAAATGAGGTCGTGTTCCAACTCCTTTTCATTGTGTAATAGCTAAAATAGTATACAGAAGTGTAAACATTCACAGTATTGATGCAGATTTGTATGGCCTCTTCGGATAAAGTTGACAAAGTTAAACTTGTATCAAATTGTATTGCAAGTGTGGTGTAACTACTATGTACTGCTTCATATGTTATAAAATGACTATAGAACACTGTAGTGTGGTATAGTCGTTAATATCAGAATTATGAGGTTGTACCCATTCAGAAAGCATGAACAGGATGGGTTTCTGTCTCAAAAGATGGGTGACTAAATTAGAGGCCTTTTGGAATTAATTAAGATTTTGACATATGCAGTTAGTGTTTATTTGTAGGGAAGAGCAAAACTGGAGACTACCAATGAGATGGGAACCAAAAAAATTCGGTGGGAACTTCTACCCAGAGTAATGAGCATATGGAATTTTTACTACTACATGAAGGAGTGCAGTTGAATGGTATGGATGCATTTAAGTGCAGGCTAGATAAGGAAATGCAGGGTGACACTGATGGATGATAGAGATGCCAGTGTAGTATAAATGCCTTTCTATGCTGTATATTCGCATCATTGTATTAAATGAATTGTATTAAATGAACAGTCACAGGTTGGTATGGAACCTCACTGAAGCCAGCGGTATGGTCAGTGTGGAAAATGTTACGTGATCCAAAGTTTCTATTCTCTTGGCTTAAAATTGAGGTGCATTAATGAGCGAGAACAGGTTTGTCCAACAGGTGGGTTAGAAGAAGTTGCTGTTCCAATCATTGATCACCTCTGATAGACTAATGTAAAAGAAGTGGCCTCTGGAAGTGTAGCAAGTTACGCAAATATCCCTACTTTCATCCAACCTGAGGCTTTGACACTGGAAGCAGTGATATGTCTGGAGGGAATGGACCATGCAAATGTTGAGGCGCTTGCTGGGTGGGTGAGGGACTGAGGCTGAGTTGGCAAGTAGGTTGAGATGTGGCTGTGGGCAATATGAAACTCAACCTCCTACTCAGGTGACTGGTTCCCTGAAGAACTGTTGTCAAAATGAGAAAGTAGGCCTGAGCCCCTGAAGCCTTTGTCTTTATCCTTCCATGGGATATAGGCATTACTGGAAGTGCAGTATTGGCTTCCCCTGAGTAGCTTCCTCGCTCATTTCAGGAAACTGTTACTATGATTGTGATTACTGTGAGAGGGAGAATGGAGACAGTGCATGTTCCAGAGTTCTTTTTGTAGAGGACAAAGACCCTGCAGCCCATCGTGTCCACACTGGTCATTTAATCCCATTTTCCAGCACTTCGTCTGTAGCATGGGAATAAAAGTTGACCACTAGGCCCTTCAAGCCTGCCTCACCATTCAGTAAGGTCATGGCTGATCTGATTATTTCTACATTTCTGTACACCTGTAATAATCTTTCATTCCCTTGGTAATTAAAAATCTAATCTTCCTTAAACATATTTATAATTAAAGTATAAATACACTCCCTGTCCTTGGAGGAAGGGAATTCCAAAAACACTCAACCCTCTGAGAGAAAATGGTTTTTCTCTTCTCTGGACATGAGGAAGCATCCTTTACACATCTACCTGAGGATCTTGTATGTTTTAGTTAAGTCACTTCTGACTCTTCTAAACTGCAGGGGATAAGGCCTAGCATGTCTCACCTTCCCTCATAAGGCACTGTGCTCACTCCAGCACATTAACATCATTCTGTAGGTAGAGCGACCAGTACTGTGCACAGTACTCCATATGCTGCCCTCTGTAACTGAAACATGACCTACCTATTGCGTTTCATTCCTCTTGCAATAAACGTTTTACAGCTTTCCTTATTACTGTCTGCACCTGTATGTGAACCTGTGATTCATGCACGAGGACACTCCAATCCCTGCATCTTAGAGCTTTGCAATCTCTTACTAATTACGTAATGGGACTTTATAAATGCTTTCTGCCAAATGGCCAATTTCACATTCTCCTACATTATACACTCTCTTTGCCTGCTACAAACTATGCCCCTTTTGTAGGTTTCAGGTGTCCTCTTCACAACTTGTTTTACTACCTGTCTTTGTGCCATCATTTAGTTATCATACTTTTGGTCCCTTCATCAAAATTATTTATGTAGAATCCCTACAGTGTGGAAACAGGCCATTCGGCCCACCTAGTCCACAGCATCCCACGCAGACCCATTCCCCTACCCGTTCCCTGTAACCTGGCATTTCCCATGTCTAATCCACCTAACTTACATACCCCTAGACACTACAGGCAACTTAGCATGGCCAATCTACCTAACCTGCACATCTTTGGACTGTGGGAGGAAACCGGAGCTCCTGGAGGAAACCCATGCAGACACTGGGGGAATGTGCAAACTCCACACAGACAGTTGCCCAAGGGTGGAATTGAACCCAGGTCCCTGGCGCTGTGAGGCAGCCGTGTTAACCACTGAGCCACCGTGCCATCCAAATATAAATTGTAAAACAAAAAATTGAGGCCCACCACTGACCCCTCCAGCACCCCACTCATCGTATCCTGTCAGCCTGAAAAAAGACCTATTTCATTACTTGCTGCGACAACAAGGTGCAGGGCTGGATGAACACAGCAGGCCAAGCAGCATCATAGGAGCAGAAAGGCTGACGTTTCATGATGCTGCTTGGCCTGCTGTGTTCATCCAGCCCTGCACTTTGTTGTCTCGGATTCTCCAGCATCTGCAGTTCCTACTATCTCTCATTACTTGCTGCATCTTGTTAGCCAGCCAATCTTTTATCTATGCCAATAATAACCCCAGTGCGATGTGTTTTGTAGTTAATCACTTGTGATGCTGTTTTAAGTGTTTATTTAAGTCTTTTTCAAATTTTGAGGGTTCCTACTTTACTTACCCTTTCAGGGCGAGTTCCAGATCCACAGTCCATCAGACTGCACTTCGTAGCTGAAATGCTGCAACCCAAGTAATATCCTCTGATCCCCCTTTAATGAAATCAATCTTCCCTATATAGTGCCAACCAGAAGTGCTCCAGCTATGGTATAATGTTTTATTCAGCAAGTCTTGTTTGTGTGAGTGAGTTTTCTGTGTCTCGGGATTCACATACAGACACAGAGTGCAAGACATGGACTTGGTTTCTCTCATCCTCCCAAAATCTTATCCACAAAACAGACTTGGAGAGAAAGAAAACACCAGAAAGGCAACCTGATTCAGATGCCCATTTTTGTATGAATTCTGCTAGGCTAATTCAATATATGCCACTAGTGGTGAAAGCAAGCTCAAAACCAACTCTTTAGCTTGGCGCCAGTTCCCAGCCCTATTGTTGGTGACCAAGATTTGAATAATTTCCAATTAATCAGTAGTGACCAGTTATCCTGCTTTAACAGAATAATGTCTGTACTAACTGCTTTTTACTTTTGTGTTGTCGTCGATCAAAATGAGCTGCTTGACTTCACATAGTTAATTTGTAGTGAATATAAGTGACTGCTGGGAAAACTGAGTGCGCTAACTTATTTCTGTGCAAGCTAATTATTTGTGAAGGAAATGCCTGTAGATGTCCTCCAGAGGGGGCAAGATTATTTCTTAAAAAGTAACTCTTTGTGCTGCTTTTATGTATACTGTCGGATGTGTATATGGGATTCATTTATAGTCACTGAATGTAATGCACAAATATGGGCTTAATATTAATAAGCCACAATTTCTTCTGGTTCCCCATTTCCTAAACACTTTATTAAGTTATGTGGAAAAGCATTGAGTTGGAGCTTACATTATGCTTGTACTTACTGCTTTAAACAGTAACTTTATATAATTTAGGGTATGTATCACATTCTGTGTTGTGTGAATTTCGATTACTGTGTTAAAGCAGTTGATACTTCCACCAGACCTTGAGTACTAAATTGCAGGTACAATATCTTTTTTTTGTGTCTCCAGACAAATTTAAAATAGGAAAATTAAACAATTTGGACCAAAACTGCATTCTAAAACCAGATCTTCAAAACTTCTGTCTTATTTGGCATAGCACCCAGCTAACTTTGTCACATCATTGCAAGAACCCTCATCATCTTTAAGAAAAAAGTGAATTTCCCATGTTGTCAAAATAATCTCAAGTACTAATCTCAGCAACAAGAATGTTACTAACAGATCTCTGTTGTACATGCACCATCAGTAAAATTAAAGTTGAGTATAAACTTATTCCTTGTTACTGGAATAAGAACATTAGTGCTCTGCATGCATAATGCCATTCATTTATCAAGAGCAGTTTCACTGGCAGAACAAAACATTGTCCAGCAAATTGATTTTCTTAATGTTGTACCAAAATTGGGTGAAATGACATCTCATCACATAAAGTGATGTCTTGTATATTAATCAAAACAGATTTGTTTAGTGTTGTCATCAGACTGTTAACAAATACAGCGCATAAGGAAACACCAAGCTCCTCCAACCTGCAGGATCAAAATACGTACCTCATTTTATATTAAGCATTTCCATCATCTGTAAAACAAAGATATAAAGGGAAATTATTTTCAAACCAAAATATGAATGGTGCTCACTGTTCACTACATTTACAATTGCCCACAAACACTCTTGTGGTCTTTAGCATGCCAATATCCAAAATATTGAAGCAATTTCCTCTAGAGATTTAGGACTGTGTTGAGGGTTTGCAGCAGTGTATATCCAGAAGCGATCAAATTGAATAATCAGTGGCAGTGGCACAGGCACACCAAGCCTAAACTAGGAAGTGTACATTGAACTAAATATTGTAATGTAAAACATGCCAAAAATTGGAAGAAAAAAATACGCATTAAATAGTTCAAAAATATTTGTCTGACTCTTTTTTTTTGGTTTCTAACATGATTAAGATCTGAAGAAATGAGACTTTAAGTATATATTTTCGGTACCAGAGAGGTTCTTCATGAGAAAGTAAGACGTACTACATTGTCAGTAATTGTCATTGTGCTTATATTTGAATGCCTTAACTTTTTCTTGCATAATTAGTAGGAAGATTCTACAAGATTGTCGTTCTATGTATTTCAGTGCCAAGTTGCTCAGTAAGATGCTGCTGTAGCAAAGACAGGGGAACAGGAGATTTTCACATTTAACTATGTACACCCATTGATTGCTGTATGACTTTTTCCGAAATCACTCTTGATAACCTCACCATCATTCCTATTAAAAAGTTAGCCTTTTAATAAATACAGTTGTGGTCTGCGACAAGTATCTTCTCTAGTTCTGTGGCATCAGCTGGTCCCCTGAATGACCCTTCACTTTCATGAGTTTGATTTTTTTGACTACTATATTTACTCTTTCGGTATCAGTAACGGAAATTCTCATGATCTGGACCCAAACTTGCCTTTCAAGTTTATATTATCAGTACCTCTCGGAGTTAATTTACAAATACTGAACCAAGGTTTAGTTTAAATTGTGAGCTGTTTTATTCCCCAAAGGGATTAAAAACCAAGACTGGTCATAGAATTAAATGAAAAAAACACAAACTGCTACTGTTTTCACCTTGACAATAGACCTGTTTCACGTGCACAGAATAATCTGAGCATTCTGTAGTATAGCCAGAAGAGAACTTATTTTAATCTTCTTGAAACACTTTGCATTCTAATTATACAGTTGTTTTGCCTACAGTCTAGATTTTCCTTTTTTTATTTGTTACTTTTTCAAAGAAATTTGATCTGAATAGCAGCAGTTTTCAGATAAAATGGGTATTACCATCCTACTATCCAAAATGAGGAGGCTTCTATTTGCCTAACTTGGCAATAATCCCTGCACAGCACAAAAGAATGGGTATATCAAATGAATTCTATGTTTTTGATGTGTGCACTTGACCTTACTGTGTAAAACCCTACACAACAGTTCTCCCTGCAGTCTTGTGACTTTATAATGTCTTTAAGCAAGCTCACACTTAAAAACATACTTAAAGTTCTACATATTTTACTTGGGGTGGGGGGGGGCGGGGGAAGAATCAAGGATCCTGACAGAATACATGATAAGCACCTTGGGGCATTCATTAGATTGAAGGCAGTATTAAAATGTAATTTGTTGTTAATTTTCTCTGTTTCACGAGCCGTTTTCTGTTGTGACATTGGTTAAAATTTCATTTACAGATACAATGTTTGCAGCCCATCAGCTAACTGGAAGCGCATGCACAGCAGTTGGTTGCAGTACAGGGGTATCATGACAACTCTAATGCCTTAAAGATGAAAATCAACAAGCCAAAGGTTCCCTAATTTCCTGGAGACTGCAATAAGGAGTAGTGCTGGTGCTAATGAAATGGTTTCTGCTGTCTCTAGAGATTTCGCTCCAATTTTGTCTAGACCTCGCATCCCATCAATAGCAGTCTTGCTAAAATGAAAACTGCTGGAGAATTTTGCAAAATCAAATGCTTGATTTATCCTCCTGCCTTGCGACCCCTCATGGGACAGTGATCCCAGAGACAGCCTTAAAAATTGTGTTCTCGCACTAAATTAGTCTGGGAGGAATGCTGCTAAAGTGTGTAGCGCAAGATGGTTTAAGTCTGATATGCTAATGAGGCAGTATATATGGTGACCACTGTGTATACTGAGACCTTGTAGCACTTCCTAAGATGCGCAATGTCACATGATCTTTCTTTCTGTTGCCATATAGTGAAATGAAACCATGGTAAGGTATACAAGGAGTAGAGCTGGATGAACACAGCAGGCCAAGCAGCATCAGAGGAGCAGGAAAGCTGATGTTTCAGGTCGAGACCCTTCTATAGTTGCTGTTGGATATGCTTATGAAATAAAGTTAATATTCCCATACACCAGACTTTAAATATCTTTAGCAGCAAGATGAGAGCAAGTGTACTATATGGTGGCAGCAATTGAAAGAGCAATATGGAAATTTCTCTGCCATTATCAGTAAACTATGAGCAGGTCACAGATTCCATAGCATGTTGTTAAACCACTGTCTTAATTGTGATTAAATGCATGTTTGGGATTTTGAAGGAGTCTGTTTTATGCTGCATACATTAGACATACTCATGTTAAAATTAAATGTGCTACAATAAAGAGTTACTTTTTACTGCTCCTGAAGGAACCTTGTGTGGTTTGCTTTAGTCCTTGGTAACAGGCAATTTGGGTTTTGGGGTATCTTTTTGGGATTTTTACATTTGTGATGACTTGTGGAACAGTAGGTCATGATTACTGGCACACTATTTACTGTTAAATTGTTGTAGAAATAACAAGTAGCCTCTGAAAATTAAAGTTAGACCCACAAAATGAAAGTAGCTCTCATAAGGAGTCCTTGGAAAGTAACCATTTTGTGCCTTGGCAACCCATCCATAGTCATATGTCATCCAGATGAAAAATGGTAAGGTGTGTTGGAATACATGTGCATAGTTTCTACACAGAAGCAACTTACACAGTTGAAGCAGTCATCAATAGAAATAACAAACTAAAAATGCCGTGTTTATGGAGTAATACAGATGACAGCCTGATTGCTAAACCAGTCATCTGTCAATTCTTCAGTCCAGCAGATTCTGAAGGAACTACATTCAGCATTCTAATGCCCAATCTCCTTCAAAAGGAGCTGAACGCATTTAGGAAGACTAGTGATACTGTCTCAGCAGCTGTGCCTGTAAAACACGAACTGAAGTTGGCAATTGCAAGGTGTAAGGGTGATTGACATGCAGTTTTAGGTAATTGCCATGAGGTGGCATTGTCTTCCATTGTAATTTCTGCTTAAAGGTCAAATGACTTTGTACAAGTGTTGAATGTGAGGAAGAATTTTCCTTAAGGAGTTAAGTAATTGTGCATTCCAAGTTCAGATTCTATAAAATACAAGAATCTGATTTCATGAATAAATCCTATTTGATTAGATTATGCAAGCCAAAGGCCAATGATAGAGACTGGCTCAAAAATAAAGTTGCTGGAAAAGCTCAGCAGGTCTGGCAGCATCTGCGAAGGAAAAAACCAGAGTTAGCGTTTCAGGGCTGGTGACCCTTCCTCGGACCGGTTTGAATAAATGTTGCATTTTGATTCTGCTTTTGCATTTAATAATTCTGCTGTAAATTTGAGAAAAATTTCAAGAGAATTGGAAAATAAAGGCATGTGAGGCTCTTGAAGTATAGTTTGTAAAATAGTCTGGGTTGATTTTAGAAGTTGTTCCAATTGGTAATAGTTTTTTTTTATTTTTTAAAAAAAAAGGCGAACTAGCTTCTAACACATGGTAAACAGAATATGATTTGAGATGTGGCAATCAATTTGTGCAAAGCAACATTTCCCTATTTTAGCAATCCACAATGCAGAAGTTCCCATAAAGCAATTCAGGAGAGTCTGACATCAGGAAATGTACTTTAAATGGGTGTCCGTGTACAAAATCAACAGGAGTGGGAAGAGATTTAAGACAGAAGATCAATTTCTAATTTATACAAAATCTTAGACCTTTTACCTCAAGGTAAACTGTATTCAGCTGTGGGTTGGCTGTTACGACAGAAATCATGCAAGACTTTCAATTCCTGGCCAATACAACTGTTTTGGGGCTCTTGCAGCACTGTAATGGTGTCCTGTCTCTGGGCCAGAAGACATTGGCTCAAGTCCCACGAGCCCTGGACATGTGCCAAAGCATGTCCAATTAGGTTTATTAAAATAATTGAAAGATGTTCAACAGAATGAAAGTGATCAACTTTATAGCATTGGAAACTACAGCAATTGTGGAAGAAAGTATTTTTCTTCACAAAAAAAAAAGACTGCTGAAGAATTCTATGAGCCTAACAATATTTCAGTAGTGAATAATGGCTCGTGCCTAAGCTTCTCATGTCCCCAGTTATCCTGAACTAGCAAACGTGACATTCAAATCAACTGCTTGTTCAGATTCTGATGAGGTTGTCCTAGTTGCCATGTGTATTATTGGTAGTTCGACTCCAACAAACCAATAAAGGCAAAATACTGTGGTTGCTGGAAATGTGAAAAAATACAGAATGCTGTAGTGTGTCAGATCTAGCAGCATCTGTGGAGAGAAAAACAGTTGACATTTTCAGTCCCCCTCACCCCCGCTCTCCCCCCCCCCCCCCCCTCCCACCACCACCCCACAGATGCTGCTACATCTGAGTTTGTATAGCAATCTGTGGTGTTTCTTTAGAAACTAGTATTTTATTCACTACCAATGGTCTTAGGCCAGGGGTCCTGAGAAAATATCCCACCCTCAAGTGCTATTAAAAAGAGGCTCAAGTGAATATAAAGAAGGTTAGCCATGTTCTGCTGGGGTCTGTATTTTTCCTGCAACCTAAATCACAGATTCTGATCATTTATTGTACTGCTGCTGTTGTGTGCAAACCAGGTGAAACTTTGCCATCATAACAGCAAGTAAATTGGGCATGAAATGTTCAATGTAATACTGAGGAAGCCAAAGGCACTGTAATTTTCCTCTTGCTCATTAATAGAAGGAGTCCAAATGGAAAGAAGTATTGAGCAGGTAAGTAGTAGCGCTGAGTGACAGCAAAAGTCGTCTGATTTGAGTGACAA